ATAGATTGATTTATGTCCAATAAGCACAAATATCTTTATCAACTCCTTCCTACTTTTCTTTTGGTTTTGTCTCATCCACTTTCTTATTCTACTTATATTTTTATTTTTCTTTATCTTTGTCATCTTCCTCTCTTTCTTCATTATCATAGTTTTCATCTACTTCCTCTTTTTTGTTATCTTTAAGTTTATATTTTGTCGTCTTTTTTTTATTCTTTTCATCAACTTCTTATTCCCTTTCATTCTTCATCATCTTCATATTCTCCTTTTTTTTATTCTTCCTTCCGATTTTTTATTCTTCTGAAGTTTATTTATCTCATCTTCATCTTCTTCCTTACCATATTCAATTTTATATCAAAATTATTTGCTATTGCTTTCCATTACTCTCTCTCCCCCCTTTTTTGCTATATTTCTCTCTTTCTTCTTCATTTAGATCTTCCTTTATGTTGCTCCAGAATCTTCAGCATATTTTTATTTTTCATTTTTGTGAAGATATATTCCACAATAGATAAGTTGAGCATTGTTTTTTTCAACTTCTTCTTCTCATTTTTGTTCACTTAGTTTACTTTTAACATCGTTTCAACCACTGTTTTCTTGTACCTTATGCACCTTTCCTCAAACATTTCACATTGGGTTTGGAACCAGTTTAATATTTTTGAATTCAACATCCATGAAATTTCTTTGATCATTCACCAATATGTTTCATGGATCACTGCCATTGTTTTTTGTAGAGAAATGCATGTTTTTCTTAATAGTATATCATTTCAAGTACTCTCATTATCAACACAAAATTTAAAGAAAAATATTATTAACCAAGCAAACAAAATAAATTGTTTTCAAAGTCATAATCCACAATATGTCAAAATACATAATAGAGAGCCTATCAATTATGAATGATAAAGAAGCATACATTAGAATTTAATAAAAAACTGAAAACACATATACAAATAATTAAAAAAAGAGTAAGACCACCACTACCAAACAAACTACAACAATATGTATGTGAAGACTTTAACTTTCAAATCAACCAAATTTGAATAAAAGTTATGAACGTTGAAGAGACTAAGAGCATCACATCGGGTTCACCTCAAATTTTTTATTAATAAAATTTTGAGAAGAGAAAGAAGGTTGAAGAAGAGAGGAAAATGAAATTCCGGTCTAAATGTTTTGCGAGAAAAGAGAGAAAGAAAGAGAACGTCGAAGAGAAAAAAAACACAACGAATAAAAATGTGACACATCATTTTAGAACCCATGAAAAAGCATCTCTTAAAATCCTTTGGGAAGAACCGACTGTAAAATATTTACCTTTTTGCATTTATTTTTAATGTAATAATTCTATGAATCCCTCTTTAAAACTTCTTAAGAGACATCATTGGAGGTGCTCTAAATAACGGGATCTTCTCACTCTTTTGCTGGATTTTTTGTTTAGATCTCTCTTGGTTCTTCCTCGAGAATGTCTAGATGTCTCCTTCTTCTTCTTGTGTCTTTGTTGTTCTCTCCTCGAGCAATGCTTATTTTCTAAATATTTTATCATTTCAAGTACTCTTTTATTGGTTGGTATATCAAACTCAAGCAAATAAAATAAATTTTGTGATCGATGATGTGTCAAAATGCATATAGCAAGTCTCATAAATGGTTGATTAAAATTTTTACGTTAAAAATTAAAAATTAGGAAATAATATAAAAATAAAAAAAAATTTCATTATAAAATAAACTACATATACATGCTAACAATGGTAAAATATCGATCTATTACATATAGTTAAAGACTTAAACTTCCTAATTTAGATTTATTTTTTTGTTATCTTTCCACATCATTTAGATTTCATTGACGATCCAAACCACGTATCTTCTGTGATCCAAACCCGTATATCATTTCTTTAGATCTTTAAAACATGAGAAAAATAAAACATGCGTGTCATAGCACAAACTACAAAATCCACAAAATTTGATCAACTTAATTAAGGATATATATATACATGAGTGCCCAAAAATTATCGTTCTCACTTCTTCTTTTTTTTTGTTTTTGTCGTTTTTTATTAGTCACACTTTAAAATACAGAGTTCCACGATATTACAAAACTTACAACATTAGTCCTAGCATCCTTGGCCACCCGATCAGCTACATTATTTATTTATGTGACATCCCAAACATTATGTTTTGGGCTAATTTTATTTCCAATTCATAATTAAAGCCCACATTCATATTATTTATGTAATAAATGTATTTATCGATAGATATGATGGGCTCAGGACTCTCTCCCGTGGACAGAGGCTTTGATATAGCAATTCCTAGAGAAGCAAACATTCGGAAGGAATTTTTCCTTGCCGCTCATTCGATCTATTTCAAATTTTAAATTCATAATTAAATTCTAATTCAAGGTACATCGTCTGAAGTCCGATCGAGCTGAAATTTTGTAGAGGGCTTCAAGGTACATCGGTCTCCATTTTCAACGGTGGGATCAAGATTCCAACGGTTGGTTGTCGAGTTATCAGCATGTTTCTGAGGCAGATTTGAAGTATTCTTAAGATGGGTGTTTTCTAGCTGCAACCGTTTTTGACAGCCATATTCTTCAAATGTTTTTCCAGGTTCTTTTAAATTAAGGTGAGGACAAGTTTGTGGATTTTTAAGATATATTAGTTGATTTAGTAATGTGTGTATGCTTAGTATAGGTATTAAACATGATTGATGATTGGTCTTGATAATGCTGATTGATGTGTGTTATTGATTGATTATTAATGATAATTAATAATGAGAAATATAGGAATAAGATAATAAGCTTTAAGTTATTTAATAGTTAATGAAAATAATATTTATTTAGTTATAATATTGTTTGACGGCCTACAACGAAGAACTGTGATTGTGAAGTTGTAGTGATCGATAAATTATTTGACGGTCTACAGTGAAGGACTGAATATTGTGAGGCTGTAGTGATCGAGAAGGGGCTGACGAGCAATAGTCAAGCCCTGTTGAGGGTGGTGGCACCGGTAACATGTCAAGCCCAAAACGGGTGGTGGCAGAGAATGAGTACCATTGACGGAAGTTCTTTAAGAATGTGAAGTAGACTCTTTAGGTTGATTGTTTGAATGATTGAATGATTGTATTATTTAGAATATTAGGATTATATATATTATATAGTAATATTAGTTATTCTAGGTTGATTGTTGTTTGAGTTTGATGCCTATATTATGTATATACTTTATTGCTATTTCAAATAATATGTCAAAGAATCACGTGTATTCCAAGAGCACACCCTCACTGAGTATTTTTCCCTGAATACTCACCCCTCTCTTCTTTGTTCAGGTGAGACCAAAAAGTAGTACTTGTGGCGGTCGTTGTGGTGTTATGTCTGAGAGTCATGGGCGCATTTCTGTAATTATTTTAATAAGAATTTTAATTATATTTTATTTAGTTTTCTTCAAATGTTTAAGACTTTTTGAGTTCTTGATTTATGAATTTTTAATAAAGATTTTTTAATAATAAATAAATATTTAATAGGTTCGTTATTCTTTTTAAAAGCTGTTAAATGAGTGCAAACTCAAATTAGATTATATTTGCGAGATTAGGGTATCTCAGTTTATATTTCGTGAAATCTTAAAAAAAGAGGTATAATCACTTTGCTCAGTCTTTGTATATCTTGCAAAGATTTTGGTAGGAGAGAGAAACTCTTTCCTTGATGAGAATGAGAACAGAAGGACTTTGCAGGTGATTCATACAGTTGGGAAGCATCTCCACCGAAGGTAACATTCTGGTAAACCAAGCGCTTCACATGTATCGTTTTCACTTTTTACCATAAGAACCATAGAAATGCCATTCATATTGTTATTATTTATCCTATATGATCCACATGGACACATAATCTATATACTTATTTGTGTAGTGATAAGCTGAGGTGTCAGCTGTATAGAGAATTTCAAAATATTTTGCTTATGTGTCAGCTCCACAATGAGTTTCGGCTGCAAAAAGACTTTTTTATCCTATTTTTTCATTTAGTATCATTTTTTGATTTGTTCTTATCTGATGATGTGTTAAAATTAACTTAAAACATATCGATCTAAATTATTATAGTTTTCTGCAATATTTTGAGATCCGGACCAGACCAGACGGTCCGATTGGTTGAACACTTGAACTGCAATCAGACAAGATTTTCTGGCTTTGTTGGAAACTCAGGATGCTATTAAACCGCTCAAATCTCGGAAAATTTGCTCAAACTCGGTGAATCGACAAAAACCCGACCCAGACGACCTATAGTAATAACAATTTGTTTTCCTTTATTTTATTGAATGGTTTATTACTTTTCACTATTACACATTAATAAATTTTATAATTTAAAATTTTCTGATAAAAATTTAATATTTTAAAAAGAAAATAAATTGAATGAAAAAATATAGAATGAAAAATATAATTATAGATGTGAAAAATATGATTAATATAGATGTGAAAAATATGATTAATATGATAAATTGACTAAGTATAGTGTATATTTAAATTTTTATTGAAAAAAAATAAAAATATACAGAAAAATATATGTAATAATTAATCCGATTCTATGAGATAAATTTTTAGAATAACTTTTTTTTTTTACACATAGCAAAAAATATTCGAACTAAAATGATAAACTTTATAAATAAAAAATAACAAATATATATATATATATATATATATAAACCACTTTCATTGATTTTTAAAGAGTTTATGGCGTAAAAACCTATGATAATAGTTGGAGTAAAATTAAATAAAAAACAGATTTTTAATTTGCTAAGAACCGCTTTTAAGCTAAAATCCGTTTCTTAAGGATACGTGGCGGGTATTGATTGGACGAATTTTTTATGTCAATTTTTTTTGACCCTCTCTCCTCTCGACCATTTTGTGTTGACCAAATTTTTTATTTTTTTTTAGAGACTCTCTCTCCTCCATTTCCATTGCAGACCTTCTTCATCTCTGTTCAGCAAGCTTCATCTGTACGTTCTGTACCCTTTTTTCTCCTGGAAATCGGTCCGGATTTGAATAGGATTGAGCTTCTACAAATTCGGATGTTTATGGTGTTGATGTTATTCCTTGATTTACAGACCAACAGCGAAAAAGCGAATTTGAAGCACCCATCAGATATAAATGCCCTAATTAGAGTTTACAAACAAGCTATCTTTAGTGGAGAAGAAACCACCGTTTCTGAAATCGAAACGATCTTTTGCGGAATCGAAAAGGAAAGAACAGATTCGACAATAAGGTTTTATCATTATTAATGAAGATAGCTTCGGAGAAAGATACGAAGATCCTATTGCAGGCTGATTTCGATAACACAAGGAAAAAGGTTGGCAAGGATTGGCTTGGTACAGAGTCCAATGCAAAGTTGCAGATCATGAAGAGCTAGGTAGCAGATTAAACACTAAGAAAGCTCTTACCTAGTCTGACTAAACACTCACACTAGTTGTCTATATAGTGATTATAATGAAGTAGATAGTTTCTGGAAGAGATTTTTTTTATTATAGCTCGTGACTGTCTTTGCATAAAGGAGACTTCCACAACTGATCTTATTATAATCATAGATGCAGAGCTTATGATTGTCTTTGCGTAAATGTAGTAGAAAGATTTAGAAGATATGCAGAGCAATAAAATCGATCTACACTTGGATCAAATCATTTGTATAGTAGCTTGTTTGATTTAGGTATCTCTACAATAAACTTATTGATTAAGGAGATTCAGGTGACGGGAAGTAGTTGGGAGGTGAAAAGCATTGACGTTGCAGTGGCTGGTCTTGGCTGGTTTTCGCTTGGTCTCAAAGGCGAAGCAACATTAGCATTGTGGACTCATCAGGGCATTTATGTAACTTTGAGAGAGTCATTAGTCATTAATCGAGCACAATTTCTTGAATGGCCTAGCTTCTAGTTACCCAAAGCCATCACGGAAGCGCTTGGAACCTATTCTGGTAAGCTTGATGATGCTCGTAGGAGGAAGAAGCAACAAGACAGTACAGGTTTACTCACTGATGAGTGATGACTAAGTAACAGAGCTTACGATCTAGTGCTGCTGATATTAGTTACAGATTAGCTTATGTCCACGAAATGGAGGGTCCATTTTGTTTTGTTTTCTTGTTTTGTTCACCACAGAATTTTTTGTGTATTGTAAACCATATTTTTTTTCGATCAAACTCCATATCTCCATATCATTTTTTTTTTATATCAAACTCTATCTCTTCTTTTTTTCCTATATCAAACACCATATTTTTTTTTCCAATAGCAAAGTCCATCTCATCTTATTTTTCCTATATCAGAGTCCATATATTTTTAATTTTTTTTTTCAGAAAAAATACACAACAATTATGGCATCTTCTTCAAACAATGATTTCAAATATTTTGTATGTTTTAGGGTTTAGAGCTGCCAAAGCATATGCCGAAGCGTTTTCGCCTCGAGGTATTTGTGTGAGTTCAAATTCGTCGAACTGTTTCTCCAGGTTCTAGATGACCCTGAGATAAGCCTCCATTATTCCGTCATTGGCTTCGAATTCTCCATTAAATTTATTCGCCACTAGCTAAGAATCACAGAAGGCTCTAATCTTCCGAACTTCAATTTCGAGGGCCAACTTTAGGCCGGCAATCTATGTTTCGTATTCTGCCTCATTGTTCGAGGAGTGGAAGTTGAGGTGGAAAGACTGTTCCAAAATTTCTCCCAATCGGGATGTGAGACAGATTCCGAACCCTGAACCTTGTCTTGATGACGAGCCATCGACATGCATCATCCAAGTATCCTCCAAGGTGGGCTCGTCTGTTGCATCAGAAGGTAGTTCACTAAGGAAATCTGCGAGCATCTGAGACTTCACGGACGATCTATACCGATATTCGATGTTGTACTCGCTGAGTTCCTGCCCATCTGGTGAGCCGACTTAATTGGCTCGGATTGTGTCGGATCGAGTGTAAGGGGAGTGTCACGAGTACTACGATCGCGTGCGATTGGAAATAGGGTCGCATTATTTTTGGGATGAACCCTATCTCTATAAGAGATGTGCTGATGGGTTATTCCGAAGATGCGTAGCTGAAGAAGAGATGGAAGGAATTTTATTCGGATGCCATAGCTTGTCTTACGCAGGACATTTCACAACCTTCAAAACTGCTTCAAAGATCTTGCAGGCAGGTTTTTGGTGGCCTACTTGTTCAAAGATACTCAAGCTTATATATCGCGATGCGATAAATGCCAAAGGATGGGCAACATAAGCAAAATGAATGATGCCTCAAAATTTTATTCTCGAAGTCAAAATTTTCGATGTCTGGGGAATAGATTTTATGGGACAATTTCCTACTTCTTTCGGAAACCAATACATCTTAGTAGACTACGTCTCTAAATGGGTTGAAGCAGTCGCTAGTCCCACCAACGATGGAAATGTCTGTTATATTCCCGCATTTTGGAGTTCCTAGAATTGTGATAAGCGACGGAGGATCAACAGAGTTTTTGAAAATCTTCTTCGAAAGAATAGAGTTGCACATAAAGTTGCTTCTTCATACCATCTCCAAACTAGTGGTCAAGTAGAAATCTCAAACAGAGAGATCAAGTCGATTTTGCAGAAAACCACTGCAGTTCATCGCAAGGATTGGTCTACAAAGCTTGACGACGCACTATAGCATCTTCCACCGCATAACCCTAGCCAGCAAGAGGACAACTTGAGGATTAGAAAGCACCTGGGTCGTCTCCAAGAAATGATAAACCAGTTTCTTGAAGGAAAAATAAACCAGTTCCTTGAAGGAATAATAAACCAGTTCCTTGATCAACAAATTGATATATTCATAATTTACATGTTTAGGATTGCATTTTTAGTCCAAGTTTAGGGTCTCATTCATACATTTTAGATAGATTTATCATGTTTTACACTTTTTTTAGAGTTTTCGGGCTTTGCATTAGGTCCAAGTGAGTCTTGCATGTTTGGGAGTGTTTACAAGTGATTTGGAACCAGTTTGGACCTGAAAAGATGAAGCCAGGAGAAGAAATGGTGAATCGAGCTTTAAAAACAGTCTTTTGGAGGTTATCGGCGATAGCTTGTACTGCGGGAAGCTTTTTCTCAGCGATTTTCATGTACCGCCGGTAGATCTCTCGACCAAAACACGTACTGGCTGTTAAAGTTTCTAGGCCAAAAATCTCGAGTGCAGATACTGATGGGCTTGCGGGCCTAGGGTTGTTTTTTTAACAAGCCCGTTGGTCCTCCAAAAGTTTAAAATTTATAAAACCCTAGGGTCTGCAAGTGCACAAATGTACGTTGTAGGACTTAGGGTGTCGATCCACAGGGTGGATGTCCAATTTGCGAGAAATAACAAACTGGGAAGTAAGCAAACTCACAAACCAATAAAAGTTTTGGGGTTTTTGGTTAAGATCCTAAACTAAACCTAATCTAATATTCACAAGAAATGCAATGCAGGATGAATTGTTAAAAGAACATCTAAAGCATATCGACTCAAACTAAAGACTCTTAAACTCATAGGTGGTGATTTAGACTTCTCTGGGTTACTCTGATCGATGTATGATGGCATTTCCAGTTAGCTTCCGGGCAATTTATCTTCACCTGTTTATGGGAATCTGCATTGAACTAGAATAGGCATATGTATGATTAACCAACTGTCGTCACCTTAATCAACTAATCTCTTAGATCTAGCAATTAACTCTCGCTCTCATGCTAAACTTAAGATCATGCATTGGACATTGTCGTCTGCTCAGATCTTCTCAATAGGTAGCTCTCGACTCCTATAGCGACTATGTTCTTCCGAAGCTAGGTATGGATGATCTGATAGATCACTCTCGTGGCTCTGATCGATCCTAGGCTCAGAAAATATGTCATGAATCTACTCTCATGTTTTACGAACAACTTAGAAGAGATGACATCCAGAATATGGCTAAGAACAATAGAAATCCTAATCGATATATATGCTTGTCGATATCTTCAGGCAACTTGACTCTCTGGGACTAATCTACATGATGCAATAAATGATGAAAGACATAGAAGAATGCAGAAGAATGAATTAGAAAAGTTAATGAAATAAAAAGGAGAAAGAACAATGGATCTGGGGAAGAATCCCCATCTCCATCGCCTAACCCTAGAAAAATAAAGTTTGGAGGCTCAAAATCTCATTATAGGAGCACACACCCGTTTAGGACTGCTAAACAATGTATTTATAGGTCCTAAGGTCTTCCAGGTCTCATTTAGGGCTTCTCTGAGGAGAAATGGCGAAGTTGGCTTTGATTTTGGGCCTTTGTGGCTCGTCCTAAGGTCCACGGAGGGTGAGAGTTTTCCAGGACAGGTAAAACATGTGTTTCCCGCGGGTGAGAGTCTTCTCAGACTGGTGAACTGGGTCAACTTGTTCTCCATGTATCTTTTGATTGCACCATTGGATCTTTGTGATGTAAAACGGTGAGAAAATCTTCATTTGAGGCTGAACTTCTGACGGTCTTACTCTAAGCTAAAAATGTGGATTTCTTCCATTTTGCCATCATATTCCCTAAGTTTCCTGAAAAGAGCCTTGAAAATACAAATACAAGGAAATCATAATAAAAGTTCCTTAAACTAAGTAACACCTTTGAAAAAGCATTTGAAATCAATGGTGAAAAGGGGTCAAAATCAAGTGTTATCAACTCTCGTAGACTTAAGCCTTTGTTTGTCCTCAAACAAAACAAGATCTTATCTGGAAAAATATCATTCAACAAAAATGATAGGGAACTCAAAAATATTAGCAACCATACTTCTAGACCTTAATTCTGGACAATGCATCAATCAGATCAAGTCTAGAAAATTCTCACCAAAATACAAACATAACTAGTCTGTTAATCCGTCATGGGAAAATCCACACACTTAGAACTAACTTCCAGTCAACTAGCTCTTAAAATTCATTAAAGGTTTCAGTGGTTCTCATCAAAATGATATTAAACAAGGCATTGATAGCAGGAATTTTTCAATCCTTGATCATGTCATTGTAGCACTTGAGGTATCAATCCAAATGAAGAGATTCTAGATACTAGAACTATGAGGAGCTATCTTAATTCAAGTCTAATAAGCAGATGAGTTGATCTAAAACATAAAACAAACAAAAACAAGCAGCAATTTAAGAACAAACAACAAGACAACAAAACAAAGACTCAAATTCAAAATAAAAGAGAAAGCTAAACCTCTAGATGTGATCATTGATTAGGGTGCTTTAGAAATTGATTCATGATGCTAAGAACATAATGCAACACTTGTTACTCTTTAGTTTAGACTTTGAAAGCAGATTAATTCATTCCCATGACTATAATCTCTTTGTAAACCACTTAATCAAGATTAATTCACCTTAAGCAAGAACAAGCAATCAACAAGCATAAAGTTTCTAGTCTAATGATGACCAAACAGTTTCTACTTAAGAAAGACCGAATCTTACACAGAAAGATGCAACAAGCAATCACATGATCTGAATTCCAATTAACTTAGAACTCTAAACTAAACTAATCCTCTCATGAAGGCATTAATCTCTACACTAATCCATTTTCAAACCAAATCATCATTTGTGAAATATGAATCAATGAACATTAAGAAACAGTTATAATATGTCATTCATGCATTTAACTATCACTCTCATGATGAAAAACGCTTGAACCCTTAAGTTAGCTCATTCAGGCATTTCATCAAACACCTTGTGGGTGGAGAAATGCCAAAGGTCTAGATCAGAGTGATGTGCAAAGATCTAGCATTAAAAGCAGCTAACTAAGAAAAGGAAATGAGAATCTAGAACCTAAACATCATAAAACAAACACCTAAGCACCCTAATCTACACACCTAGA